TTACAACATTTAAAAGATATTTGGATAAGTACATGAATAAGAAATGTTTTTATGGGATTTAGGCCAAGTGTAAAGAAGTGGAACTAGTTTAGTTTGGGATTATGTTTGGCATGGACTGGTTGAACTGAAGGGTCTGTTTCCATGCTGCATGACTCTATGACTCTATAACTAGCTGATGGCACCTCTGGGAAGTTCTCAGACTGGCACTGAGTAGAGGTACCGCATTGCCTAAACTTTCAGCAGAGGAATTATAGAACAGACCATGGGGATCCCTGAAGATGAGGTTCTGATGCCTGAACTAGTTTGGGAATGCCATGCTGTATGGCCCAGACAGACGTCCCACATCACAGTGGGCTCCTCCAAAATCTCCATAGTCACCAAAAGGTGGAAAACTGTTGGCAGAGGAAGACAGGCAGGAGTCAGAGAAAACCTCTGAGGAGGAGGATGAGGGCAAGGACTTTGAGATGGTGTAGGATGACCATCAAAGAAAGGAAAAAGAGCAATAGTTCACCAAGTAGGAGAGGCCAGAGATAATGTTATAGCCATCCACCTCCAGGATAACAAATGTGCATTGAGAATTTTTCTGTTCTTATTAATATTTTATTTGTGTAGTTGGCTGTCAGCTCTCTGCTTTCTCTGTGCTAAATCCCTCAGGGATTGTATAGTTTTTTCTGTTTGATTTATCATTGCAACAAAACATTGACTTTTCCTCTCAAATGTGGTTCTGATTTTCTCACCACTGGAAGGTAAAGTGAGTGAGAAGGCTTTACTGTGGGCTAATGGCAGTGCTAAAGCAGCTGTGATTTGCTGGCCACTTCCATCAGCCCATGCTCCTGGATGATGACACTTTCACCAAAGACACATGAGTCTCATCAGTGAGTCCTTTTCCTGGTGAATAATACCCACATCCTTAGACTGATTCTTATATCCTCAGTACTCCAAGTGCTGCAAAATGCAATGAACCTTCACTGTGTTCTTGCAATGTTGAATATTTCCATTAACAATGCTGTGGGCTATGAGGCATGCATCTATGCCCTCAATCCATCTCCACACTTACAGAAAGTTAGTATGCGACTTGATAGATTTCAATGTTGTTTACATGGTTTTGAGAAACTCGGGCATGGAGCAGAACCTTACCTCCTGCAGCCAGGACATACTGAACAAATTCCACCATTACATTCATATGACGTGTGGGCGCACAGTCTACCAACTGGACATTCCAGGTCCTGGTTCCTCATCTAAATCTTATCATTAACCTCAATATCCCCATGATTCACCTGTGGTGCTTGGACTGTGGTCTCCAGTTGAATGGTATTTGGTTTCCTGATGAATTAGCTGAGCTTTAGTTCCTCACCCCACTGATTGACAGATGTCCAAGGGCATAGTTGAAATGCAGCACCTCCTTTTATTGGCTGAAGATGCTCCATATCTTATTCTTTGAAGAATGTTATCATGTCCCATGGGACAATAAGAACACACCAGATATTAGAACAGTGCAAGTGAACACATTTTTTATGAACAAATATATGTTTGCAAAAGTACAGATTATCTAAACTGATTGAACTCCGATGTCACAAAGGTGCCGTTAGAATGTTTTTCTTCTCTTCTCTGTCCCGCTGCATCTAGATAATGGCCTGGTATCTCTCACTGAGTGGGAGGAAGCCTGCTTGCTGATTCATCCATTCTAGTGACTGTGTGGGATGTCCTCTTGGGACTCTGAGCCTCCTGGATTCTAACTGCTGAGAGAAGCAGACAGGGTCTCCTTGGCTGAGGTGATGGAATCACTGGCATGGGGGAAGTGCAGGGGTAGGGTTCCTGCCCAGGCTCCTGGGAGGAAGCTGCCAGGGTATCTGTCTGGTTCTCTCCCTCACTGTGGCCACCTGCTGGCAGTACCCTGATCCTTGAGAAGAAACACATCTGGAGTCAGTGCCAGTTACTGAGCCCATTTCCCTGGTATAGTTATAAAAGATAACTCTTTTTATTCTGTTCAGCTCTGTATCCCTTTCAAAAAAAAGTTACTTGCTCTCCAATCCTCCAGCAAAACCACTCACACCAGTAATTTCTAGTGAATGTAATTTCTAGTGAATTCAATATTTCTCCCAGATTTTACTCAAGCTTTTTGGCTTTATCCCATCAGGTGCTGACACCTTGGGCTGAATCTTTTGGAATTTTTTTTTGCTGGGTCTGAGTTGGGTTCTGCTGGGTCTGAGTTGGGTTGAGTTTTTGGAGGGTTGTTCACTCTGAGGCCTAAAGAGTTCTCTCACTGTACCGCATTTATTATCTCCTGTGCCCTATAGCATCCCTTACATCCCCAATTCCTGCCCCACCTTGAGATACATTGTTCCCTTCATCACTATTAACTAATATCCCAGTATTCACTGCTTTTCCTTGCTCCCATACCACCTTTAAAAGCCGTTTATGCACCTGGGCAAGCTCTGTCAATCCAGAAGCAGTCCTGCACAGTTTCTGACACTTACCCCTGATGACATGGAAAACAGGGGCAAATTGACACCCCACTATGTAGGCAGGGACTGGGAGATCCTGCTGGACAAAGTAATGTAGAGGGAGGATTTCCTCTGCCCCTATGGCCTGCAGTAAAGTCCACAACACCAGGCCATGCCAGCCTGCTCTGAAGTTACCACCTGGGTTAAAGCAGTCTTAGACATCTGGAGGAATGCAAACACTGCAGGAAGGAGGTCATTGACCTTCTCCTCTCTGCAAGTGTAAGTGGTACCATCTTTACTCTGATACTTCATATTCACTCTATCTCTGCTGCAATACCTACCTTACAGCAAGGCTTATGCTCTAACACTCTCAGTAATACCTGCAACATCTTCCCTCACCCAATGCCACCCCCCATACCACTAACCTCACATGTCCTTTGCACTGCCTACTCACTGTCTCTGCTTATCTTCTGACCCGCACCAAAACTAACAGCTCTGCCACTTTCATCACCTTCAATACTTGCCCCTCTCTCATACCAGGCCCTAAGAATAGGGCAGAGAGAGACAAGACAGGTCAACATCCAGCTTCATGTGGAGAGCATTCTGGCTCTTACTGTCCTGAGCAGTTTGACTGATTGTTTACAAACCCCTGGGCTGCTGCTGTAGGCCCTCACTTACTGCGCCGAGAATCTCTGAGTGACAGCTATCCCACTTGACATGACTGAATTTCACTGGCTAACATGACAGGTTTCCTTCTTTTGTAATTACGTAAACAGCAAGGCCAGACATAAGCCCGATGAGTCAGCTATCTCTCACTGAGGGGGACATGCAAAATGATAATGCAAGGCAGGGAGGCTGTGAGCGTACAGATAGGCTCAGAGTGAGTGAGTGTGTGTGATAACAGTGAGTGTGGAGTCCGGAGATACAGCCTGGTGCACACCCTGAGCTGGGGGGAGGGGGTTGGGTGTCCCTGAGTACACAGTGCCCTTGCTGCAGCGTTACGATGAGAGTTACTGGGGCAACCCAAGGCACAGAAACATCCTGTAAGTGGATGGGAGATGGCCTTGAGGTTTCACAGAGGCTGGTACATGATCTAATGTCTGTGGAACTGGGGTGCTTGTGGCCAGTGCCCATGAGATGTTGGTGCCCAGTGTCCAACATAGAAGCCAGCGAGAACCTGCCAGGTCCCCACCCTGACTCCGTGTCAAGGTTTCCCAACATCTAACCTGTTTTGTGAATTTGGTAAGATGGAAAGTCGAACATTAATGAGGTGAGTTGGACCGTGAACAAAATGTTTTCCAAACTTTAATCACAAACAATTGGCAACTAGCTTCTGCCACATGACAATCTCAACTCACCATTTATGTAAAGTGTAAACGTTGGTCCAAGGTTGGCCTTGACTGACTTCTCACCTTATTCAGTTACAAATCTCACCGTAGACTTCATTGTCCAGACCCCTGTAACAGTCCACCCTGGATCCTTTTTTTTTAAATGCTATTCAATTGCTCATTATACCTTTAAATTTACTTGAAGCGCATTCAGAATTTATCTCAACCCAGTTCTGTTTCTCACACTGATCATGGAGTTAAGGACAGATAGGGTTTATAAATTTTGGTCTTTCAGGATAGCAAGGCAAACACAAGGGAAGAGTTCACATTGTACATACCTCTTTTTGAAAGATTTTAATTAGAAGAATTTTCAATAATTTTGTTACATTCCATTCTTAAACAACTCACAAACTATATGATAAAACATAAAAGCAAAATACTGTGGATACCAGAAGTCTGAAATATAAACAGGAAGTACTCAATGAATGGCAGGACACTAGGACGCTCAAAGGAACAAAGATACCTTGGGGTGTTTGTCCACAGATCCTTGAAGGTGGCAGAATGGGTTAATAGGGTACTTAAGGTGGCATATGGGACATTTACCTTTATCAGCCATGGCATAGATTATAAAAGTAAGAGGCTATGCTGGAGCTGTTCAGGACTTTGGTTAGGTAACAGCTGGAATACTGTGTACAGTTCTGGTCACTGCACTGTAGGAAGGATGTATTTGCACTGGAGGGGATACGGGGGAGATTCATCAGGATGGTGCCTGAGATGGAACATTTAATCAATGAAGAGAGGCTGGATAAGCTGGGGTGTTTTCTTTGGAGGAGAGAAGGTTGAGGAGGTCCCATTAAAGGTGTATAAGATTATGAGGGCATGGACAGAATAGATAGAAAGCAGCTGTTTCCTTTGGTGGAAGGGTCAATGAAAAGGGGGCATAATTTTAAAGGGAAAGGAAGGTTAGAGGGGATTTAAGGGAAAACTTTTGCACCCAGAGGTTAGTGGGAGTTTGGAATGCACTGCCTGGGAGGGTATTTAAGGCAGGTAACCTCATAACCTTCAAAAAAAGTAATTGGATGAAGAATTGAAATGTCATAACATTCAAAGCTTTGGGTCTGGTGCAGGGAAATGGGATTACTTAGGTAGCAGTACGTTTTTGGCATTACAGACTTGATGGGGTGAAGGTTATCTTCTGTACTATATGATTCTATAAGTTTATGACGTGCTTGAGAAATGCAGCAGGTCTGGCAGCATCTGTGGGGAGAGGAACAGAGTTAACGTTTCAAATCGCATGTGAGTCCTCTTCAGAAAAAATCCACTATCTGTTTTGAATCTGAATGCTTCTACTGACATTATTTATGGATTAGAATGTAATTCTTTGATTTAAAAATGAAACTGTTTGAGTCATTAAATGTAAGCCTTTGCCTCTAATTTTAACAAAAATGCAAATCTGTTTAATCCAAAGCTAATAAAATTGTCAAGCAATGAAATTTTAATCCTCTTATGTTACAAAATCTGGATGGTGACTGAACTGAATTCAACATTAATGTGACTTCGGTAATAGTTATAAATTGATTTTTGTTTGAGTAATGTGAAGATACAGCTAGCCTACTTGCATCTGAATATTATATAAACAGTAGTATCTTTGTTACAAAGCACAAATTCCTGATGAAGGGCACTTGTCTTCAAGCAGACATAGTTAGGCAGTAAAATTCGTATTATTTACATTAGTTACCACACTATTCTATTTATAGATTCCTAAAAAATTTCTTAGATCTTATTATCATATATTAACTTTGGTATAAAAACTTAACATATATGGGAAAGTGTAAATGCCTAATGATTACCCTCAATTGTTTCAGGGTTGTTCAACAAAAACATTACCTTAAAAGGTAAATTCAATCCGCTAACTGACCAGCTTTAAAAAAACACAGACCATGTGAGTATGAACACAAAAGTTACTGGTGTCTGTATTATTGAGCAGACAAAGCAGTCACTGTACAAACAAACTATATTGAAGAGAAGAGCATCAGATATTGGCTCAAGTGTTTCCTTGTTACGTCTGCAATAGTAAAACTTGTATTTTTTTCAGACAAAATTATAGAGCGAATGTTCCGTTATTTTTATTACTCTTAACTGGACAGCCCTGTGCAATTGACTTTTGGCAGACGCAAAACCTCAATGGTTTCGGTCACAGTGTCCGCTCCTGCAGAAGGTCGGCATGTGGGAAGACGAGATGTTGGGGGAAGGGGAGTTGGACACTGGCTACACCAAATTGCTATATGTGACAAAATTATTGCAAGAGTTTATTCAATTGTGAATAATCATTTGTTGCATCAATCAGAGAGCAGAGACTACAATTATCCTGTGGGATCCACGGTAAAATTAGGAACAATAGATTTTAAAATGCAAACAGATTGTACAGATTATGTTTTCAAGTAACAAATATTTTGTGGTTCTGCTGATTCTACCTGCTTCAAAACCAATCAAAAATAATAAATCTTTTGAACAGACTTGGCAATGTTGGACCTGGTACATGAATTATCTAGAATTAGTTTGAGTCACATTGATCCAAAACTCTGAATCAAAGCCACTGCTAAACTCCACAACTGTGTGTTGGTTTGATCTACGTATAAATGTGCTTCACTTTTCAGTGTGTAGTGAGGAAACACATAACTCGGTTCTCTCTATTCATGACAGGCGTCACTTTCTGTACAGACTGCAATATGGTTAGTTACAGGAAGAAATTGCTGAACTTCTTTCTGGATAAATGTTTAATTTAATATCAGTTTTTGTTTTATTTTCAACCATCACCAAAACCTTGTATTGCCAGTGAATAATGAAATAGTAATTCAAACTCCCAAGTGCTTCATAACAAAAGCAAAAGCTTAATGAAGATCTCGCTAAGTTATCATTACAGATTCTTTATGCTTACTCACTAACCGAGGGCACCTCAATACGCTTCCCCACCTACACTAGCACTAAAGGCTGCCCATCCACTTCCATCTCAGCCAATCACCCTTTCTCTCTTTCCAGGAGAAAACCGCCCATAACGGGCTAAGAGATCCAAGGTGGCTAATGGGGGGGGTGGGGCGGGTGGGGGGTGCGGTCTGACACTTGGCCCCTCATCCCCTGTGAAAAAAGAATCTGGGATCTTACTGACAAAGACTGGGACTCGCTGTGTGCAGCCTAGGGCACTTTGGTAGGTGTTTAGAACTTTGACAAATAGGGTGAATTTTTCTAGGTTACAAAACATTGCATGTGCATCACAGCCATTACTGACACGGCTTCCTGATGCTGCATGATGTCAAGGGTGATTAGGGCCAGGATTTGAACTCCACACACTAGGTCAATGCATATTTTTCACTCAGCATGTAGTTCTTGCAGGGGTCTTGAGCTTCTTTGCGTAGGTTTCATTGTCATGGTATTGTAATTTGAAGGGCCTCACATCAGTTGAAACTGCAGCATTCTCCATTACAGAACAAAGAATGGACTCTGCCCACCCTTGGCATGGTGGCAGCCAGTGCACCACTTGTAATTGGCAGTACGTTAGGAGGAACAAGCAGTCGCATGTCATGGTGTGAATCACAAGCTCAACTTCCCAAATGTACACATTCCCTTTCCATCAACCCCATAGGCTTCAAATATCTCCACATTCCCACCTGACCCATTGATCTAAATCTTCATCTCCCCAGTTTAACAAATCCAACCTCTCTAACCGGTTCCAGGAATATTGAGTCAACATTCCAGATTGAATTGTGCACTGTCTCTCCATTAAAGCCAGGGTGCTGCCTGACAGTTAATAATATAGGCCCCTTAGATAAAGATAAACTATTTCCACTGGCTAAGGCTTCTAGAACTAGGGCCATAGTCTGAGAACGAGGGTCAAACTGTTCAGCAGAGATGTTAGGAAGCATTTCGACACACAAAGGTTGGGGTGTCTCACTGCTGTTGAACATCTCTTAAGGTTATTGAAAATGTTAGCTGGAGATTGAGCCCAAAAATGGAAGTGCTAACATCAAATCAGCCTTACACGCTGGATGGATGCATGATCTGTCCAGGCTTCATTCTCACTGCACATGCTGTTAACTCCATTGCTAGTGGATAGCAAGAAGCTTTTTCCCAGAATGGGGGACTCAATTACTAGGGGTCACGATTTCAAGGTGAGAAGGGAAAAGTTTAAGGGAGATATGTGTGGAAAGTTCTTTACGCAGAGGGTGGTGGGTGCCTGGAACGCGTTGCCAGCGGAGGTGGTAGAGGCGGGCACGATAGCGTCATTTAAGATGTATCTAGACAGATACATAAATGGGCAGGGAGCAGAGGGATACAGATCCTTGGAAAATAGGCGACAGGTTTAGATAGAGGATCTGGATCGGCGCAGGCTTGGAGGGCCGAAGGGCCTGTTCCTGTGCTGTAATTTTCTTTGTTCTTTGTTCTTTGTAACCCCTCAATAGCACAGCTATGCTGGGAGTGTGCACATGCAATGTGGATGACATTTTACCAAATGATGCATACAGCACTAAAACCTGGGCACTGTCCTGTGAATGTTGGATATAAATCTTGATTGATAGATATTGTTAGTCGGTGAGAGATTGGAGTTTGGTAGACTGTGCATCATGTAAGGATGATGGTGGACCAATGCAATATGACATTTGAAGGTACCTTCACCAACCTTTACCCGACAGATGAGTGATTTGTACAACACCAGATCTATAACCTTCGGAATAGACTTATGACTTTGACTACCATCTGGTTCCATTGCCTCTTCCAAACCTGGCTGGATGCCCTCCTGTCAATAGGTGACATCAGTTCTGCATTCCACATGCTGCAGCAAAGCATCCCTTACTATATCAGAAAACCTTAAAGCCTACTTTCTATCATGAGTCTCTTTATTGAGTGCTTCCCATGTATAAGTCACATTGAAAATTACTTTTAGCACCTGCTCTGACCAGTATGTGCTTCCCTTTCATAAAGGTGCTAGCTTTTCACGATATTGCATTCCTTGCCTGGGCAAGTTACACACTTGGTGCTGGTTACACACTCGAACAGTTATGAAGTAACATGTGGGCGTGGGGTAATCCCATACCCCTGTCCCAACACTGGTTTTGGACCCTGTTCAAATCTTTTAACATTAGTAGACAAAAATCAGCCCTTTGCCAATCAAGGGCCACCCCTGTAGCAATGCTTGTTTCACATTTGTAGTGTAAATGAATTTCCAATTATATAGTATAAATCACAAATAATTCTATTGTGTGGCAGCCAAACCTTAGCAGAAATGGAGCAAAGAATTCATGACATCTGTTTTAAAATTGACAACATTTGCAGTGTTCTTCTAAAACACACTGAGCTTCTGTCTGGGGAGGTGACTGAGAAACATACTCCAGGTTCATAAAGCCTGGCAACACATCACACATTGGGTGATCCATTCCCAGGACCCAGGAGAAGGTGAGTAAGAGGCAGACATTGTGTGCTTATTTTTATATTTCCATTATAAATTCCTAGTTCCACATTTGTAATGGAAACTGCCTGTGTAAACTTGACATACTAATTACGCTGTCCTGTTTGTGCTGGCCTGCAGTTCTTCCAGGGGAGGCAGGGAGGGTGTTACTGCTACATGATGAGTTTACGTCGACAATTTCCATTCTAGAAATGGACATTAGAGTTTATAATATGCACAACTGAAAGAAAGCACACACAGATATAAAGGAAAATGTTTCCTTCCAAATCCCTACCAACTTGGAACTCCCAGCATTGACGTCACCAAGAATGCCAAAGGTCACTCCTTCCCTGCTGGCTACAAACAACAAGTAGCATGTGCAGAGGGCCTGGGTCTCTGGCAGGTTTTCCTTCTTTCTGTACAGTTGTTGATACTTTAGGGGCCATAATAGTAGCTGTTAGCAGCCCTACCTCCACCCAGATAATTTCCAAAGATTTATATAGTTGGTATTGATTAGTGAAGGAGGCCAAGAGCCAGCCACAATGAGGGGATGTAAAGTTAAGATTATGAAAGTTTAAATACATTGAAAAATGTTCATTTTATTTAAAGTTTCATTACAGTTTACAATGAATGGTTGTAGGCCTTTGCGTTGTGCATTGACTTTTCTCACAGTAATAGTTGAAACCCATGTAAAAGCCAATAAACCTAAACCTAATTCTAAACTTAATTCTAATTCTAAAAAGCCAAGCTTGCTATCAACCATCCCTTTGTCTGCTTACTCTTTATTCCTCTCTCTCTTTCCCTTACTCTGAGCTCCATTTCCACCAATCTGTTCACTCCTTTCCCCTTATCCTCCCAAACCCTGTAATAACTATAAACACCACCTTTTCCTAGTGACAGTCAGTTCTGAGGAAGGGTCACTGGATTCAAAACATTAACTCTGTTTCTCTCTCTCCAAATGGTACTAGACCCCTTGAGTTTGTCCAGCAATTTCTGTTTCTATTTGTTTTAGCTCTCCAGCAAACACAGTTCTTTGTTTTATATTATAACAGAATAAAATATTTGTTTGCCAGCAATCAGGAAGACTACAACACTGCAGTATTTGCTAAGATGACTTTGGGCTGATAGCCCTAAACTACAATCAGCTGAAATATTTGTGTAGCTGGCACAGTTCAAAAACTGCACTAAAATCCTAAACCACAACCAGATGACTGAGAAACATTTGACCATGATGAGTCCTTGTTTCCTGGGAAGCAATGAAGAACAGACGTTACCTGGAAATTAGCAGTTATATAAACTTTCTTAGAAACAGACAATGATGTAAAGTGTTTTTGGGCATTAAAAAGCCTAAATTAATTCCACTTCATTTACTTATCACCCTCATATGTAAGAAATCAGTTACACAGCCTTAAAAAGCAAGATAAATATTGAATACACACAGTGGACTTTTAAATTGGCTGAATTAGTTCCAATATTTCTCTCAATAAAGATACGACAATTGAAACTGGTTGTGCATATGCAATGAATTCAGATCCAGGAAGATTAGAGTCAGTGTATAATTGGAGGGATGGGAAAATGTCTCACTTCACAAACACCATCCCAAAGAGGTGAACCTTCTCTCTCTCGGCACCTTCAGGGCCTTTTTACAGTTTCAAAATCAAACTGCTGACCTCACAGGTTATGACAGCATTTCTTTGATGGCAGCATATTCTGAAGAATTTGGGTCGAAGAGGTACTTTGATGAAGTGCGTTAAAGAAATGAAACGTAAATATGGAATATAAATATTTAACATGGTGCCTGGACAGCTGAAGAAGACAAGGTCATGCTCCCCTCCAGCTCCACCACACCCGGCACTTTTCCCTGCAACCGCA